ACGTGATCCTTTTCGGGGCTCGTCGCCTCACCCGCTCACCGACCGACCAACCGCTCTCCCAAAGAAGAACACACCACTGTCGCCTCGAGAAGTAATTGGTCCAGGCTCAAAGAGCCCTTGAAGAAATGGAGAAGCATGAATCCTAGGGATCCAGTCGTACCGAACCTCAGTCAGAAGGGACTTGGACGCTCCAAACCTACATAACAGTGTCTCCAATCACCAATTTGAACCATCATGTCCGACAGACCTTCAAAGTGACCTCCAAAGGAGTCACAGTAAGAGAGCTTTTCCAGCCCCTCTTTTTGCGACTTGAAACCAAGATGTCAAAAGGTCACTTTGAACAAAACAGGTTCTTGCTTTCTGTTTTTGAACTTGTTATCCTACTTTATCCGATATGTTCCACAGTGTTCCCCGAAAACGTGACGCTTGGAACCTCCCTCCTACCCTCCTACCCTCCTACCCTCTACGGTCGCTCCGTGCTTTCGTCCCAACGTCGGTCGCGTCAGGCGGCAGGAGGATGGGTCCGGTCGGATGGGTTCGGTCTGTTTCGTCAGAACGACGCGACCAATGGGGTGAAACGGTGCCTAAAATGGAAGCACCTGCGAGTGTGAAGACCACATCACTTGGTTTCAGGGTCAGTTATAAGATACTTATTGGGGGGTGCAGTGTGAGAGTGTGGTACCAGGTCCAGCTCGGCTTAGCGTCGATCAACCGATGAAGTCCAAAGTTTGAAGAGACAAGGTGAAGGGTCATGATAGGCCCAGCGGGTCTCCATGGTCCCCAATCTAAAGATCCTCGATGGTATTGGTAACACTCTGACGAACAGATTATTTGGTGGACCCCAAATCCACTGGGAAGACCATTCTCCTGTACAAACATGTAGTGTGGTCCACTTCCAAGTCACAGACACTCCATGTTTGGAATATATGCCACCCCATTCACCCGTTGTGGTCATGTTGGGAGTGATATCTTCGTCCCAGCATTCTTCGACCTACCCAGGGGATAAGCTTAAACATAAAGTTTTTTTGGAGATTCATTTCCCCACTAAAGCGAAGAGATAGAAACAGGTGAACCTCCCTATGGATCTACATACCGAACCTGAGAAGGTGAGATTCTGGAGATTCTTCATGTCGGCGCCCTCCCCCATCGGGCCCAGTCATCACGGTCATACCCTTCGCTTCGGTGGATCCGTGGATCCGTATTACTGTAGGTCTTGCAACTGATCAGACTGCAGATCTGTCGCTGGTCGATGCCCGATCTCGCTCCGGCGAAGGCGAATCGATCGCCCGGGGATCTCAGACCTTGGCCAAGATGCCGAAGCAGGCACGAAAGCGGGTGCAGAAGCAACGCACTGACACCTTGGCGGTTTGGGTTGGACACCTTGAGCTTATCTATTTGATATGCACTGTCACTGTTTAAACAGAATCTGCTAGAAGCACCGAATTCCAGATGGTGAGTCATGAAATTAGACAGTATACCCATGGCTGGTATTGTACAGTACCATTTCGATTGGGTCAGCTTCTGCAAGGCTTTTCTTTGGGGCGACTGAATTTGGGTCGCCACACCTTTTGGAGCGAAGGTTCCGCGAGAGCCAGGGTTCCATCGTCACTGTGTGACGGATGTCAGAAAAATGCCACCCCATTGACGACCCAAATCTCCAGACGCAAACATTCCATGCATGGTGTGGAACGCCATTGCTTTGAGCCCTGCAAAAAAATGGTCCCGCGCGCGCAGACCCGAGCAGCGCCGGAGCTGTGTCAACGGCACTTGCAGATGCTGGGGACCAAGCGGAGAGTAGAGAGGGAGAAGGGGAAGAGGTCACCAACGGCTGCCCAGGAAAAGTGGATAACGTTTCACTAATTTTTGGGATTGGTCAACAAGAGCCGTGTGGGAAAAGGTGCGCGGGAGTATTGAAGCACTTCAATGACTGAGATAGTGGAGGAGACTCTAAGAATGAAAGGGTTCGGGTTGTATTCTAGACAGGTGGATTTCTCCACTTCCTGGCGCAGAAGACGACGCCACAGCGTTCCGAGCAAGCCTGAGGACGTACGGGAAGGCAGTTTCGTGTAGAATGTCTGGTGTAGAGGCGGACCCGGACGCTGCGTAGTCTTTGAACAGATCATTCCGTGGGAGTGAAGGTTGTGAAGGTGGGGCTGCAGGCCACCACAGTGAAGCCAGAAGGCATGCGTTCCCAGGTCCTGGGACCTCAGCCTCCAAATGGAAGTCCGGTTCAAGCGTTACCGTCAGGGGCAACAGCCAAGAACCGCTGGCCATGCTATCACCAAGAAGAATCCAGCCCAGAACCTGCCAACCAGAACGAGCTGGCATGTTTGAGTGTTGCTGAAGCAGGCTGTTGGAAGCCGTGTGGAGTTGGTGTTCCACTAAACTAAATCTGTGAGGCTTCGTTGGTCACGTACATGGTGTTGCCGACTTCGATCCAATACAGTGGACAGCGATTTGCCGAAGACATTGCTGAAGCGATTTGCTAGTCGCCAGGCACGTCAACATTGTGTTGCAGAAACCGGAACCGTCATGAATGAGAGTACCAAAAACCTTGTGTTTTGTTTATCTACTAGTCATGTACCAAGATTGTAGGCACCTCAGAAACCTCCGATTGGCACCCTAGGCCTGTATATGAGGCAACCTCAAAATTATCATCAATTACTTTAGTAAGGGACGTTTCATCTCTGTGTTGCTTTTGTGATTTTCCTTGAAAAACGATAGGGGACTGATAAAAAACGATACCCCTATGTATACATACATGACGGTCTCTAACAGAACAACGCCAGTCTAGTACACGTCTTCAGCATGTGTGTTCATTGTGTGGCGAAGCTTTTTTGAGCTTAAAGGGGGGGGGTGACGCACGCCATGTGGCGGGTTGAGCAGCGTGAGCTGATCAGCAGTGATCGCAAGTACTGCTTCTTGCCTGCAGACATTGAAATTCTTTGGATGCTTTGACAGAACCATCATGAGACAATGAAAAAGCCATCATTAAACAAGTACCGAGAACGGACTTAGCAACCATGGCTGTCAGCTATCCGATGAAACAAACTCCTTTTTGACCCCAGGGGTCTACATTAAGACAGATGAGAAGGGCAAGACCAAGCAATACAAAAGTAAGAAGCAGGCCAAAGAGCATGGCTTTTCAGAGGAAACTCGGCTCAATTCTGTTTTCCTATCTTTGAGCATCTTTCTGTTGGCTCGGCCCATATGTAGACTTCGTCCAGCGCTTTCTCCACTGAAGGATGCTGTGACGCCGAAGCCTGAGAGCATTGTGGGCAATGCGTGTGGGTCAGACACTGTGGGCAAAGCAGAAGACCTTTTGAAGATGGGGCAGGGGAACGGTGATCAGCAGCTTTCTAGCTTTGGTCAGTCAGGCAAGGTCCGAAAAAATTGTCGTGTCATTCCAGAGATTATTGTTGGACACCCCTTACTTTTTGCATTCCAGAGGCTATACTGGCTGCCTAGAGACACCCATCACCTGACTTCTTTTTCTTTTCATGTGCATGCTGTGCACGTTCGGAAGTGAAACTGAAGGTGACGCAGTACAATCTGACATGAATGAGCCCAAGACAGCTGATGCCAAGCAAGACCTGCGAGCGGAACATGAAAATGAAGGCATGGCTTCTGCTTTGGCAAGCCTGTTGTAGCATTTTTTGAGGGCATTGAACGTTTCTCAAGGTTTTGCCTAATTGATAGAGCCTGTCCTGCACCCCTGTTTGCTTCATGTCCACCTCCCTTCCCTGCAGTTCCCTGCAGGCCCAGCAGCAGATGTCGTGGAAGCGTGTGGAGTGGCAGAGACTGAGATGTTAGACGGAAACGGTGCAGTTGGCAACGCCGGCAAAGTCAGTGAGAGCATTGACATTGTGCCAGAAGTTGTTCCCAGTACACCGGCCAAAAAAGCGGCCCCTGGATTCTGCCATTTCCGCAGAGAAAGGCTTACCCCTCAGCCCTGGGACCTTTGAGAAGTTGAAGTTGGCAAGAGCAACACTTGGCTCCAATAAAGGGAACCCAAGTGGACATCTTCATAGCACATCTCACGAGTGTTCCTTCTGTTCCCGCCGCAAGCATAGCTGCGGATGGGGCTACCGTTGGAATATGAAGACCAGAGTGGTCAGTGGGAGCTTGTGTGATTCATGCATGCAGGCGTGTCATAAGCTCGGAACGGGCAAGTGCATTGCGGCTTGCAAAGCAACGCCACTGGTTCTAGATGCCATTGTCAAGAAATCTCGTGAGATTTCCACTCTTAAGACCTCTGATGTTTGCTTGTGCGGGGTGTGCGAAGACAAGCCTCCTCCTCGTCGGTTGCGTCAGAAGACGCGCATTCCAGATGTTGACTAGGGTCAGTTGGACCTTGTGAAATCCTGATGGCACAATGTGCCGCCTGTGGGGGAGCTGGCAGCAAACATGTGGACAGGTGAAAAACATTGCCGACGGCCTTGCTCGATCTTATCGTATCGAATGACCAACCTGCCATAGAACCCCATAATATGAGATATCATGGTATAGACAGAGTAATTACTCCTTTTAAACAATAGTTCTTCACTCGGAACTTGCCTATATATATGGTTTACCCTACGGTACTCACTGGTTTGCCCAACGAAGAGTGCTATGCCATGGCTGAGCTAGTATATTGTTGGCTTGCCCAACAGGAGTGCAATGCTATTGCTTACCTAGACTGCGGTAGTGGTTTGCCCAACGAAGAGGGCTATGCCA